TGGCTGGGACCTTCCCTGGTCCTTGCACGGCCGGGCCGCCCGGGAAAATAGGGTGACCCGGGCAGCCCGGATGGTAGCCTAGCAAATAGATCATGAGTTTGAATCCTCGTGGAATCAGATGGATATAATACTGTCAGAGGTTGCCCCCGGCCGAGCCGTAAAAAAAAAAAAAGGTGACCCGGGCGGCCCGGCTGGTAGCCTAGGTAAAAAACTTGATGGAGATGCAATAATTTGCCCAGGAGGATGCTCCTGTACAGATTCCGGGGAGGAGCCACCGGAAGGGCTTATTCATAATTTCGCAGAGCTCTGACAGGGACTTATTCGCAATTTTTTCCAAAGGGGCGCTTTTTCTGTGAGCCTACGCACACTTCTATCAAAAAAGAGGTGCTTATTCACAATTTTCCCCAAGACTAAGAACAAGAAACCCCATGGAAATTTGGAGAACCCCCAAAAGAGAAAGACTGAGAACAAGCACAAGTGTTGTGGAGCACAATTGATTATCCTGGTGGGCAATCAGCCAGGGGGGAGGCAGGGGGGGAGGGGGGCCTTGGGGAGGGGAGTGTATAAGAAAAGATAATTTTTTAACCACCAGTACTTTTCCCAGCCATTTTTTCGGAGTCGCGGCGAGGTGCTCCGGAGGATGCTCCCACGACTCTTGGGAAGTACAGGAGTGCCGTTTCGCTAGACATCCATCCAGGCAAAAGGGCCCTTGTGTTGTCAATATATTTGGTGCTGGTTCGACTCTTTTTTTTTTTTTTAAAGGAAAAAAAAGAGCGGCAGTACTGTTTAACCTCTATCAAATGGAGAATGCATAACCCGCTTTTGATTATGGGCATTGCCACAGCAATGTTACGAAAAGAAAAGTACGAGCGCATCTCTCTCCCCTCCTCTCTCTCTCTCTCTCTCTACATATCTACTGTATAATGATATAATCATATATAATCTGTACAACTAGGCTACCTGCCGGGCCGCCCGGATCACCTTGTTTTCCCAGGCGGCCCGGCCGTGCAAGGACCAGGGAAGGTCCCAGCAAAAAAAAAAACAAAAAAAAAGCAAAAAGAAAACGAAAAAAAGTTAAAAAAACTATGCTATGCAGAAAAATAAACTGAACAACTTTTGCCTCAGGGTCACATCGAAATTCTTTACCAAAAAAAAAAAAA